GGGGGGGCCCGGGCCCCCCTGCCCCTACCTGGCTACACCCATGATCAGTCCTATTCTTAAACCCCTTACTAGCACGTTTTTGGTTAATTAGTAGCACATATATTAGAAGCACTTGTTTACGTGACAACTATTTCCGTGTGCATCATTGCCGATTTACTTCCAATCAACGAATCGCCGCTAAAGAAGTTTCACTTCAAAAATACAATACATTTACTTACCCTTTCAGCTAACTCTTATGTATTTCTCACTCATAATTTATTTTGTCATCTTCATATTTATCTTTATTTCAAAGCTTAATTTAAAATGCGAAGTGAAACAACATGCGAAACATGTCAAATTGAACATGTTGCAGCAACATCTATACACAGATATGGAAATGTTTTAAGGACGGTTTTGGCCGTAGTTTTCAAAAAATTTTGAAACTATAACAACACTGCTCATCTACGAAAAAATGCCTTTTGAAATCGTTTCGGCAGATTCTCTAAACAAAGGCGGACAACATTTATGTTAGCTTATTAATATAAAGATAAACCAATAAAAATCTGAATAAATATATCGCAAAATATATCGATTCCAAAATCGATTTATTTATTGTTAAATATATCGACAACAATATCGATTATTACAGCGATAACAATATTATCGATAACAATACAAAAAAATGCAAAACCTATAACTAACTTACTAAAAAAAATTTTATTATAGCTTAAAATTATTGTAACCAATAGAGGTAAATATGTTGTACAAAAAACAAATAAACAGAAGTTCACAAAAGTTGATATAAAACTATTCGTCGATTTAAATTGTTAACTTTTTACTGAGCATGTTTATTTAATGAGGAGGAAGCATCGAAAGCCTAACCCTGTCCGTGGGAGACTTTAACCCAAACTAAACTTCCTACCGTCATGTACCGTTCGCCTCCCGGTACCACCGTCAAGGATTTCGTCGGGATTATAACACTGTGTGACTGATAATAGATATAGATCTTTTCTCTTCTTCTTCTTCTTCTTTGGCGCTGTAACTGCCAAAGCGATTTTGGCCAACTGACGCCAATTGGAAATGCCAAGTGAAGCTAGCCGCTGTATTTTAATTCGCCGTATACCAGCACGGACATGATGAGTGAATTATAGTGTGGTTTTCGTACGTCGAGAGAGGACTTTACTCCTGAATTGCCTACTCAGATTCTGTGTTGGATTTCAATGCTGACATTATTATCGGTGTTAATGGTGGTTCGCAAGTAAACGAAACTCTCTACTTTCTCGAAATTGTAACTGTCAACAGTGACGTGGGTGCCAAGGCGCGAATGTCCTGACTGTTTGTTTGATGACAGGAGATACTTCGTCTTGTCCTCGTTTACCACCAGACCCCTTCGCTTTGCTTCTTTTTCCAACTTGGTGATGATGTCAGTGTCATTGGCATAAGCTCTTGTAGTAAATTGTTCCTTAGCGGTTCAGTTCTGCAGATCTTATTATCTTCTCCAACATCAGATTAAAGGAGTCACGTGAAAGAGAGTCGACCTGTCAGAAACCCCGTCTGGTGGCGAACGGCAACAGAGCAGAGCTGGTGGTGGCGCAACGTCATTTTTCACAGCCGTATGAGTTTTGAGGGTATATAGGAGACTCCTTTTAGTGCTGTCGAAAGCGGCTTTAAAGTCGACATATAGGTGGTGAGTGCCGATCCTTTTCTTTCGAGTCTTTTCCAAGATTTGGCGTATTGTAAATACCTGGTCTATTGTAGACAATACATTCGATAAGACCTTGCAACCTAGGCTTAGAAGGCTGATCCCGCGGTAGTTGGCACGCATGGCGGGGTCGCCTTTCTTGTGGTTTGGGCAGACCGCAGTTGAATAAATAAATAAATAAATAGCTCAGCTCACAGGCCGTCGCTCAGGCAGCTTTGGCACTTTTCATCATAGTCAGGCGCTGGGATATCGACTCCATCGTCATCGAGTGGGACCTCGGGTTCGTCTTCTCCACTTCTGTCAGTGATTCTGCTATTCAAAAGAGTCGAAAAGTGTTCCCTCCATAATCTGAGTACGTTCTGGACATCGGTCACTAGGTCACCATGGTTGTTCCCACAAGAGTCTTGAAACTTTCCGTAAGTCGCTCACCTCTCTGTTAAAAATTTCCGGTGTTTTTTCTGTCGGCCAGCATTTCAAGCATTTTCTCACACTCCTCATCGTACCAGTAATGAACGGGAAATGTGGTTCTACTGCTCGCGCAAGTCGGTTTGTTGAAGAGTGCTCTCTCACAGCAGGTGTGAAGGTCGAGCGAAAGCCGAAACCATTGGCCGTCTGTTTTGATTGCAGCTTTTCGACGTTGAACTTTCCTTGCGTTGTTGGA